ACTGATTCTCCTCTCCACTAGTGTAATTAGAACTAATTCCACTGAAGTAAACAGAAGCTGCACTATATATCTGAGGGCAGAATCAAGCCCTACATTATAAGGCATTCTCCCAGCTCCTCTTCTATCCAACACTGTTTCTCTTGTGCAACACATTACATTTTACTTTCACTGAAATCCCCCACGGCACTTATAGTAATTACTTGCATTCATTGCAATCTTATCAGTATATTCAAATTATTATACTGTCCAGTTGCCTGCTCAGCTGGATAATGTTAGGTAGACTATGATACTATAAAATTTACAAACCACATGTTGTTTAGTGCTTTTGGCTGCAACAAAATTCTGGTTTGCATTAAATGTAGACAGGCAAGTTGATGATCTAGATTTGATGAAGTCAGTAGTGGAAAAGCCATCCCTACAGAGGTGTTACATTTAACATCTGGATGCTGTTCTTCACCAATGAAATTAATGAACTGGGACGTACTCTAAACTGGTTTATTATCATCTGAGGCAACTCCTGACTATTTTAGGTTTTTATTAGCTACATTCCTGCACTGGTTATTTTACAAATGTTGGCATGAATTTTAATTTCCAACATGAGTGTAATTTTCTAAGGCATGCAATGACTTATTGTATAATATTAAATAGGAGAGTAAATTATTTACGAAGACCTTCAAGACCTACAATTTACCATCTCTTGGTGGGACTCCAACTACAAATATATTACTAGGTGGTGTGCTGAAGGGTATTAGTGGCTTCATGGGTCCAGATACACAAATGGGAACTAGGTGTTGGACAAAGTGTCACAATACCTAACTTTTAGGCACCTATAAAATCACAGAAAGAGCGCTGCAATCCACAAAGCCTGAGTAGGCACCCACACTCCCTATACAATGAATGGGGAGAGATAGGCTCCTTAGAATGCAACCCACTAAACCAGCACACTAGGCAGGGACTAGCTTAAGCAGCTCAATAGGCGATGCTGGTGAGAGGGGTATGATAAGCCCCACCCATCTCATGGAGTTTGGTGCCTAAGTCTGGGTTGCAGGGAGGCATCTATCTCTGTGTGTGATTCATGAACCAGGAAAAGATAGGCATTTGGCTGCCTAAATTGTGCCTGGGGCTATCTAACTTCACATGCTGCTACTACTGACTACCCTATGGAATATGCTAATATTGGTTTCCCTCAGTCTCTCCTGTTGAAGTTTTTTCCAATTTAATTAAATAATTGAATAACTAAATATTAATTGGGCCAGAGAAAGTTAGAATGACATCCTAGCCCCTGCCCTAAGTGACAACAAAAAGGTTGGGGGGGTCGAGCCCCCCCAGGAATCCTGGGCCCAGCCTGGTTTGTGTTATGAGGACTCTGCCACACAGGAGAGTGGAAGGGAAGCCCTTGAGGTCAGGCAGGCCTCTGGGTAAAGGAAGTGGGAGCGAGGACTCAGATCCTTATACTAACCCACTTCACTGGGGTAGTGTATAAGCCAGGAAAGTTCCCCACAATAGCGGGACTATTCCCTTGCTTACATAAGGGCTAGACAATGCAACCATTACTCATGTTGGAAACACTTCCATGGGTTTTCACATGAAATTCAGTGAGACTATTTGGCTGAGTGGTCACCAACAAGAGTATGGGTTGTACAATTTAGCCCTATATAGATATAAAATACGTAGATCATAATATGACCCTTCTCCTAGATGTCATCTGCAGCAACGTCTGGATTCAAATAGCTAGGGATGTCTCTTAAAACTAACCAAACACCACCACCTCAAGCCCTCAATCAGAATTTCTGGGATCACTACGTACTTTCCATTGGTGTACTTAATAGGCAATAATCCTCCACTCGCAGGCAGTGAATCTGAGTATTAAATATTTAAAACCTTATTTGGGGAAAAGGAAACAGCATCAATTAGGGAAAACCCAACAACAATATATCAATAATAAAACACTTTCCCATGGCAGTAGTCCATTAATTCTGCTGGTGTCAGCATCCAATAGGCAAATGTCCCTTTACCACATCACTTCTCTATCCACTAAACCCCACTTTCTGTTTGGTGTAAGTGGGTAGCGTGGCTCCAGAGTCCTGAGGTGCACTTGATCAGGTCTGTACCTAGTCCCTCAGGTCTGCCTGGTTGTGTCCTGAGACTCAATTATCTAACCCAGCTATAGTAGTTTCAGCTTTATTCAGTAGCGGGATAGGAGGGGCCATATCAGAGTTAATTCAGCTCCATCCTCCCTGGGCCTCATGGAAGGGGGTTCAACCTCTGAAAGCCACGGAATTCCTTTACTACATCCTATGTACCTCATGCCCACTGGCTTCCATGATTCCACCTTATTCCCATGAACTACCCTATTGCCTGCTGCCCCAGTCCCTCCCTCAGGGAGAGGAGAAAGTGGTAAAATAGCTCCGATTTTTAGGGAGGGTATGATACCAAAGAGAGCAGCTGTCTGCTATCTGCTTCCTCTAATCCTTTGCTCCATCTCACTTGCAAAACCCAGGCTTTTGGATATGTGGGAAATGATACTGTGGAGATGAAATTCTTCATTTCTGTATACTTCCACCCCAAATTTTATAACAAATCCGTGTCTCAAGGGGAATGATCTGTCCTATTGTCAAAATTTGAGCCACTGTGATGAACAATACAAACATGCTGTGATTCTTAGCTCAAAAGGAGTAAGTTAAAAGTGATTGAATCAGAATAACTCTTCTTAAATTAGTAGATGTGTACAAAGGAACTGGGTTATTTTACAAAAGCTCATCTGCAAGTTCATACACATCACTTTTGCAACCCCTCAAATAGCTAACCTAGTGACCCAAATCCCCCTGATTTTATTTCATGGCCACCATTCCTTCATCCATTTTAATCTACTTTAAGGATCACTGTGGTAGCATTAGTCACCCCCTTCATTCTTGGAAATGAGTAAATTATGCAGCTGCTCCCAAAAGTCTCTGGTTTGAGAAATGAGACTGACACTAGGTCTCTCACATGGCAGTGCAAAAACCACAGTAGACCATAGTTTATTTTGATATGTAATAACACTAATAAATAGCAGAGCTAGTAAAAAGTTGTTCATTTTTTTAATGGAAAATAGCTTGGGGAAGAGGGTGGTTGGGGGAAGGTGCCAGAAGTGAACCAAAATTGAGCATGGAAAGCACATGTGGCTGGAAGAGTTGGGAACTAATTGGGGTGGGAAGAGCAGGGCAGGAAGCAGATTCTTGTGGTGAAGGAGGGAGAATGAGGAGAGATGCATCTTCCCTTTATTCTGCTAATTATACATTTGAGATTTAAGACTTCTGGCCCAGGCAGCTGTTTCCCGCTGCTGGTTAACCAAACCATTTTTCTTCAAATTTGGCTTCATTTTCTTTGCTGAGTGAGGACTTAAATCATACCAAGTTTGAAATGTTATGTTCAGACAGTTTGAGAGTTTAAGATATTTTAATGGGGAATAATTTCTTCATTTACAAAAGAAATTTTTTCAACCATAATTTGATACCAAATAAACTCAAACTTAAAAAACCTAACAAGCACACTTCAGTTGAAGTCAGTTGTGGACATTTTCACAGAGGGGATTTTTTTAGTGTGTGAAAATCAGAAGGAACTATAAGTTTCTCATCTTTAACTATACAATACTGCTCACTATTCCCAAGAGAGAACGTGACATCTTCTTCAGTAACAGTAGTTCTTTGACCTGTGTTGTCCATATCGATTCTGCTTCTAGTGCGTGTGCACCCCACGTGCAGGAGCCCAGGTTCTTTTGGGCAAGCTCAGCTGGCTGGGCCCATGCCCTTGCACCCCATCTACCCTCCCCTGCACCCAAGGGCCTAAAAGGCAGAGTGGGCCCAGTCTGGCTGTAGCTGGGTGAGGGCACTGTGATGGCAAGGAAACAGGGGGAGTGCAGTCCAGGGACCGTGAACCAGTTACTGCTTAGGGTTGCCACCTTTCTAATGGCTAGTAACCGGATCCCAAGGCCCCAACCCTGCTCTGCCTCTTTCCCCCAAGGCCCATCCCTATTGCTCATACCTCTTCCCCCTCCACTTTCTGAATCATCTAGATATCCCTTCACCCCTCTGCCCCCCAGCGGTTCCTCTGCTCCAGAGCTGGGGCTGGAGCTGTTTCTGCTTGACAAGGAGCCTGCCTACAGGTAGGAGGCAGCCCTGGCTGAGCAGGGACTGGAATGGGTTAATGACCCGGCATCTCCCCCAGCCGTGTGGTAACCCAACTTTTGGTGTCCATTCAGTGCATGTGACCAGACACTGCCAGGTCCCCTTTTTGGGCACCAGGCAACCCTAAATGGCAGCTGGACCCAGAACCCCCAAAATGAACTGCCTGGGTAAAAAGCAACAAAGAGTTACAGATCCAGACTAACATGGCTACCCCTCTGATACTTGGCTGGGTGAAACCCAGATGGGTGGCGTGGCAGCCGCATGGAGGATAGGTCAGCCACGCCTCTGGTCAACTCCTGCCATGGAGAGACGTTGACTTCTCTCATCCTGGCAGAAGTTCCACCCCCCCCTAGCGAATTTGATTGACTGCCCAATTTGATTGACTGCCTCTGATTGGCTGCCCAACCCACTTGGTCCCCCCCTTTCAAGGGCAGAATAACCAATTGGAGCTGCTGAAGCCAAAGCACCCCATCCCCTCCCGTCAGGAGCCCACGCTCTTCTCACAGGAGAAGGCGGAGCTACAGGCCCCTCCTTCCTCTCCTTCTGTTAGCAAGCGAGCGACAGGGCGGTTCCTAGCGGCTCCTCGCTCCCTTTTAAAAGAGTTTCATGAGTTTTGACCCCTGGGGGTTACTGGAGGGCTTTTCCCCCCCACTGCAGGGAGCTCGGTCGGGGTTGAGTGATGCGCTCCCCTGGCCGGTATAGCCACAGTGAACGGGTGGGCGGGGCTTACTTTCCCCAGTCAACTGGGGGACTCCCCCGCTCCTGTTGGTACAGTCTTGCATGGGTGACTCCTCCCTTCAGTAAGACTGGTAGAGTCTGGTACTGCGACCGTTGAAATTCAAATCCCTTCAACGGTTCTCTTCCGTTCTCTCCGTTAACAGAATTTTCGTTAAAAACTGTCGGCCCGGTGACGTCACGCCGACGCAGAGTGGATTGGGAGAGGTGGTTTGCCCCTTCCCCATTTTTCATCCGGGTTTCCTACCCCCTTCTTTTCCATCCCCCCCAGTTTCCCCCCAGGCTTTTTTTAACCCGAGCTGTCCTGCGCACGCGCACTGCCTCCCCCCCCCACCTAGAGCGAGAAAGACTGTACGCGAGCGAGCGGCGCGCGCTCCCCCGCGCGAGGTGTTGTTTGGAGTGCGCGCGCTGCTGAGGAGAGCGAGAGACAGGCGGCGCCTTGGGAGCTGGGGCTGGGCAGCATCACTGGGCTGAGGGAGCTCAGGAAGAGGAGGGCGGCAGCGGGTCCCTGCTCTCGGGGACCGTTGGCTCCACTCACGCCCGGACAGAAACGGCTTTGAGCCTTGTCTGTGGAGCGTGCCCCCCCGGTGCGCGTGTGTGGGGTGAGCGCTGTCACCCGGGCGCCTAGACGGGGGGTTTTCGGGAGGGGGGATCCTTAACCACCTACCGCCCCCAAGATGGGCTGCACGCTGAGCGCGGAGGACAAGGCGGCGGTGGAGCGGAGTAAGATGATCGACAGGAACCTGCGGGAGGATGGCGAGAAGGCGGCCAGGGAGGTCAAGCTGCTCCTCCTAGGTAAGGGACGGGGCTGCCGCCTTTCCCGGCCCGTGGGCCCGGTGCCCCCCGGTCCGCTGCTCTGTGCCTGCCGGGCCTGGGCTCCTCGGGGCAGGGATCCTGCTTCGCCTGTGCGCTGGTGGCAGCCGGTAACTCCCTCCCCGGGGCCTGGCACGGTTCCGGGTAACACTCCTGCGCGCCCGCTGCCGAGGGCGAGACGTGGCGCGTGGCACCAGAGATGATGTTGTCCTGTATGATGATCACTCGCGGACGGGACCGTGGATGCTCTTGTGGCCTCCATGCCTCTTACAAGTGCTCGGGGAGTGGGGATAGGGAAGGCAGCGCCCCCTCCCACCCCCCCGTAGAGCGGCGCGCTTGGCCTCTGCTGGCTTAGAAGAAGAGAGTTTGGAAACTGTAATGATCAGTGTTGTAGACAGCACCCTTGGGTTGGACGATTTTTACTTTAACATTGACGCCCTGTAGACATGCCCATTCATTTCACACCCGCCTTTTGAAACAGCAGGCATTAAAGGGACACACAAAAAGGTACAGCTTTTACTCTCCAAATGCTCTGCTTCCACGAGGAACACTTATTTTGCCTACACTTTAAATATCTATTTTTAAATGACCTTTTGTGACTGGGTTTTTTTGCGATTTGTAATTCAATGAATCACTATATATTTGTCTCCTGCCACAAGTGTATGAATGCAGTAGTTTGTTAGTCCTTTCCATGATTATTTGGGGTGGGGTTTTTTGACATATTTTTAACAGACTTACAAGTGTCTGGGGAATGAGGGGATGTGTAAACCAGAAAGTTTTTAAGAGGTTTCAGAAAATCGGAAGTGAGCATTTTAAACCCTTCACTAAAGTAGATGTGGCATAATCCTTCCTTATAAGCAGAAGATACTTTTAAAAGTATCAACCCACGAATGAGGGAAGTGAGATTTGCACTACACTATTATTGTGAGGTATCTTATATTATATATTTTAAAAGTACAAACTGAACAGGAATGTATTAACTCACATATACAAACTCAATGAACTGCATGGTTTTTCTGCCTTTTAGGAGCTGCGTTAGTAGTTAATGGTAATTTCAAAAAGAAAAGTTTTCTGATTTTTCTCAGGAAATGTTGACTGCCAGAATACTACTCTGATATATTTTTTGCACAGGAAACAATTCTTCTTCTTTTCTATTCTAACTTCTAAAATGGCACATTGGATATCTATTGCACAGGAAACTTAAGTTCTCTCCTGCATAGATGTAGAGGTGAAACAAACCTTGTATGGAGAAAAACAAATGTAGTCCTACACTGCATTCATGCACTTGACATTTTTCTTATGAAGGAAACAACTGATTTTTTTTCAGTGTCAGGCCTGTTTGGTTAGTGCAGTGCTTCCTCAGCCATTGATTGTTGCATGAAAGGTTAAAAGTATGTGGGGTCAGTGTTAAAAGTGTTTCTGTTCTTGAAGGTGATAGAAACTGATCGTTTTATTATTATGGTAGTGCCTACAAGCTCCAACTGAAATTTGTTTTTTAAACATTTCATTATTTTCTGTGGCGTTTTTAACTTGTGCAGTTATAGTATGCACAAACATTTGCATGACATCCATAGAAGCACTTTGAACATACCCTTTAAAAAGCATGATTTTTAAATAATTGTATTTTCACTTTTGTATTTCACAAATAATAATGTCCTCTCAGCAACTGTTTCTTCTTAATTAAAAGTTTCACATATTCAGGGTTTGTAATATAGGAAAATACATATTCTTCTGTACAGTTTTCATGCAGTCCCAGTGTATATAGCTAATCTGCTCATACCAATACATTTTGAGAATAGCATAACCCAGGAGTTAAAAGCTTGCTTCAGTTAAAATGGGCTGTGAAAACCAGAGGGTTAATTTTTATTGGGTCTGGATCCTAAAGTTCTTACGCAGGAAGAACCCATTGAAAATAATTGGACTAAGTTTTTACATAATTAAGGACTGCATGAAGAGGCCCATAATTCAGGGAATACCTCTTGACCTATTTGTGTGGCTCGCCATCTGTCCTGCACCAAAGTTGGTTTATTTCTCCTGGTGTTTTTTCTTGCTAGATAAGCACGGCCATACTGGGTTAGACCAAAGGTCCATCTATCCCAGTATCCTGTCTTCTGACAGTGGCCAATGATAGGTGCCCCAGAAGGAATTAACAGATCAGATAATCATCAAGTGATCCATCTCCTGTCCCCCATACCCAGCTTCTGGCAAACAGAGGCTAGGGACAAAATTACTCTAGAGCAGTGGTTCCCAAACTTTTTGGCATCGTGCCCCCTTTTTAATTTTTTAAAAACCCTCACGCCCCCCACCTCTCCTTTACCATCATCCAACCCCCCCCGCTCCTTGTCCCCTAACCGCCCCCTCCTAGGACCCCCCTCCATCGAGCCCCCCCCCCTGCTCCCTGTCTCCTGACTGCCCCAACCTCTATTCACCCCACCCCTGACAGGCTCCCTGGGACTCCCACGCCTGTCCAACCCTCCGCCCTCCACCCCCGCTTCCTGTCTCCTGACCATTCCCCCAGAACCTCCACCCCATCCAACCACTCCCTGTCCCCTGACTGCCCTTTGGGACCTCCTGCCATTCTCCCCCACCCCCTTACCAGGCTGCTCATAGCAGCAGGACAGGTTTATTGGAAAGCCTGGGAGGTGGGCGGGCGCAAGCCGTGCTGCCCGCGCAGTGGCATAGCTACAGGGGAAGGGCTGGGGGCTAGCCTCCCCGGCCGGGAGCTCAAGGGCCAGGCAGCCTCATGCCCCTCTTGGAATTTCTTCACGCTCCCCAGTTTGGGAACCAATGCTCTAGAATCTACAAAAACTATTTTTATTTCAGTACCCTGACTTAAGTGTTTCTTGTTGGTTCTTGTGCTAACACATATATTCAAATGCTAGGTGTTAAACATATTGAAAATATTAGTATTTCTAGCTTTTTTTCATTGTATGTTTTATTAAGGGCTTGTATAAGAGCAGAAATTGTATCGGTGAAACTAAAGGTTTGATATTAAACTGATTTAGGGTAACTTTTTGTGTGGATTGTCTCTCATTGGGTTTGATCCTGATTTATCTTCCCAATGTTAAATAACAATTGAGTTTAAATGTTGTCTAAACACAAAGTTGCACTGGTTTAGCTAAATCAGTTTAACATCACACTTTTAGTCAAGCCAGTGCAACTAAGGTAGGCCTTAGAAAGTGGTCCCCAAACTTTTTATTTTGTGCCCCACCCCTTACCTGTAATGGAATCTGTCCACGCCCCGGGGAGCTGGGAGCGAAGCTGCTGCTAGGCCAGGGCTGGAGTTGAGGCTGGGACTTGGAGTAGGGCTGTGCTGTGGTTGGGGGCCGGTCTGGGAGCGGAGTGGGGTTGGGTGGTGCTCAGTGCCTTGCTGTGCCCTAAAGGGGCATGCCCCACACTTTGGAGACCACTGCCTTAGAGACACTAGGTTGTGGTAATTTATTCTTGTTATTTTTTTTTTTTTATCTTTTTGAGTCAAAATATCCCACATTCTTAGGGGTGATCTTCCAACAATCGGATCTTTAGGGTATACAATCTCTTTGGTGTATATTTTGTAAAATTTATTACTGAATTGTAGTAAATAAAGCTGGCAAATGCTCATTGTTTTCTTGAAGAAACTTCAAAATTAAAAATTACTATGAATTTTTTTGTTTTTCATAGAAGAGGTAAAAAAAGATTCAGTTTCTGACAATTGAAAACTTCTAACAGTTTTTGTTGTTGTCTACTTTTTGGTTGAAAAAACAGACATTCGCTTTGATCAAAAAACTTTTTTCAATAAAAAAAGCCTAGTGAATCAGCATAGAGCGGCTACATGGGATATTTTACAGCAGTGCAACTTGGGTCTCTAGTGTAGACATAACCTAAGTGTTCTTCCAAACTTTCTAATATTCAGAACTTTTTAAGATTTTTTTTAAACCGTCTGACAGAAGCGTATGAAGTTGTTGTTTAGCAGGGTTGGATGTTAACTTTAGTACACTTTTAACTTTCTTTTAACCTTAATTTAAGTTACTTTATTTTACTGTTGGAATGACAAGGTGTGTGAGATAATATATTTTATTGAACCAACTTCTGTTGGTGAGAGACAGACTTCAAGCTTACACAGAGCTCTTCTTCAGGTCTGGGTTTAATGTTATGTTACCTCACCCACCTTGTCTCTCTAATCACTTGGGACCAACACAGCTGGGGCAAAACTGTATACAGTCTTAATGTTTAGCACACAGTGGTGTAACGGCTTTCCATCAGAAGAGTGTAGAGAACTTAATTGATAGCCTGGAGACCCGATGTTGTCATCAAGAAAGTTTTGTCCCTGGACTTTTCAGTATTTACCGTCAAGCTTTGTTTGGACTAACCTTATTACAACATGACCAAAGATATCAGTTGGCCCTGTGTTGAACTGTGACCAGGAATAAGCACTTGTGGTGGTGGGGAACAGTAAATGAGATCAAGTCAGAAATGTAGAGAAGTGTTGAATAATGTAAGGTCTTGAAAGTGAGGACAAGAATTTTGAATTTATTACACAGGCAAATTGGAAGTCAGTGAAATGACTCAAAATAAGGGTGACATGGTTGAGCATTAAATAATTAGGGCATGGACAAGCAATTTGACTAGTGGGACAGAGAAAATAATTTTTTTCATGCTGAGACAGTCTTGTGCCTCAGGAATCTGTGTTCTTGACACAAGAAGATTTGGACTCAGCTCTTTGTCTCTGAGGTGCAAAGAGACATCTTATGCCTCTCACCCATTGATTGGGGTTGGGTTGGTGTGTGAAGTTTCCTGGGGAGGAAAAGGAAGAAGCAGGTTATTTCCTTGTCTTCTCCTTCCCAAGCTTGTTGTCTCTTGCCCCAAACCCAGTTGCTATGTAGCTGTGGGCATGGAAAGTGGGATGCCAGAGGTGGTGGGTTTATCTGCAAAATCTCTGGAGGCACTGCTTCCCTGAGGTTGAGTGCTGTGTAAGTGGTGGAGAGAAGCATCTCTATCAGCAT